TCTGAAAGCAAGCTAGGGGAAGGGGGAGGGTGGGTTCCTTACAGAGAATGAGTCAATAAAGGGGGCGGGTTTTCATGAAGGAGAAACAAACAGAAATTTCACCCTGTAGCCTGGCCAGTCATGAAACTGGTTTTCAAAGCTTCTCTGATGCACAGCGCTTCCTGGTGTGGTCTTCCAATCACCCTGGTGTCTGGCTGCGCGTAATCGGCAGCCAGGCGATTTGCCTCAGCCTCCCACCCTGCCATAAAGGTCTCCCCCTTACTTTCACAGAGATTGTGGAGCACACAGCAAGCAGAAATAACAATGGGGATATTGGTTTGGCTGAGGTCTGAGCGAGTCAATAACGATCACCAGCGACCTTTTAAATGTCCAAATGCACATTCTACCACCATTCTGCACTTGCTCAGCCTGTAGTTGAACAGCTCCTGACTCCTGTCCAGGCTGCCTGTGTATGGCTTCATGAGCCATGGCATTAAGGTGTAGGCTGGGTCCCCAAGAATAACTATTGGCATTTCAACATCCCCAATGGTCATTTTCTGGTCCGGGAAGTAAGTCCCTTGCTACAGCCGTTTAAACAGATTAGTGTTCCTGAAGACACGAGCATCATGAACCCTTCCCGGCCAGCCCATGTTGATGTTGGTGAAATGTCCCTTGTGATCCACAAGTGCTTGCAGCACCATTGAAAAGTACCCCTTGTGGTTTATGTACTGGGTACCCTGGTGCTCCGGTGCCAAGATAGGGATATGGGTTCCATCTATCGCCCCACCACAGTTAGGGAATCCCATTGCAGCAAAGCCATCCACTGTGACCTGCACATTTCCCAGAGTCACTACCTTTTGTAGCAGCACCTCAGTGATTGATTTGGCTACTTGCATCACAGCAGCCCCCTCAGTAGATTTGCCCACTCCAAATTGATTCCCGACTGACCGGTAGCTGTCTGACGTTGCAAGCTTCCACAGGGCTATCGCCACTCACTTCTCAACTGTGAGGGCTGCTCTCATCTTGGTATTCTGGCGCTTCAGGGCAGGGGAAAGCAAGTCACAAAGTTCCATGAAAGTGCCCTTACGCATGCAAAAGTTTCGCAGCCACTAGGAATCACCCCACACCTGCAACTCTATGCAGTTCCACCAGTCTGTGCTTGTTTTCCGGGCCCAGAATCAGCATTCCACGGCTATAACCTGCCCCATTAACAGCATGATCTCCAAAGCACCGGGTCCCGCGGGTTGATAGAATTCCATGTCCATATCCTCATCACTCTCGCTGCCGTAGCCTACTCCTCGCCGCCTGGTTTTGCAGGTTCTGGTTCAGCATAAACTGCCCGATAATGCGCGAGGTGTTTACAATGTTTATGACTACTGTCTTGAGCTGAGTGGGTTCCATGCTTGCCGTGGTATGGCGTCTGCACTATTCACCCAGGAAAAAGGTGCGAAACGGTTGTCTGCCGTTGCTTCCCTGGAGAGGGGGGAGGATATATCCAGAACCACCCGCGACAATGTTTTTGGCCCCATCAGGCACTGGGATCTCAACCCAGAATTCCAATGGGTGGAGGAGACTGCGGGAACTATGGGATAGCTATGGGATAGCTACCCACAGTGCAGTGCTCCAGAAATCGACGCTAGCCCCGGTACATGGACGCACACCACCGAATTAATGTGCTTAGTGTGGCCGCATACATTCGACTTTATACAATCTGTTTCCAAAATTCGAATTATATAAATTTGGATTAATCCCGTAGTGTAGACATACCCTCAGGCTGCTGAGCTATCTGTTCCAAATCTAACCTTTTCCCCTGTGTGATACTTTGTTGTTTTAGTATCAGAGAAAAAAAACTGTCTGTTAAAGGTGACATGCAAAGGGATAAATGATAGAATTGTAGGACTGTCTCTTGCACTCATGGAAGAACTATGTATTATCTAGATGAACCCAGACAGGTGTTTGTCTAACCTGTTCTGAAAAATCTTAATGACTTTGATTTTACAACCTCCCTGAGCAATTTATTCCAGTGCTTATCCCCCTAACATTTACCAAGTTTTACCTAATGTCCAACCTAAACTGCTCTTGCAGCAATTTAAGCACATTGCTTCTTCTACTGTTATCAGAGGTAAAGGAGAATAACTTTTCTCCGTCCTCCTTGTAACAACTTTTTATGTAATTGAAAACTGCTATTGTGTCCCCTTTCAGTCTTTGCTGGACTAAACAAACCGATTTTTTGAATTTTTCCTCACAGGTCATGTTTTTAGACCTTTAATTATTTTGTATGCTCTTCTCTGGATTTTCTCCAATTTCTCCACATTTTTCCCGAAATGTGGCACCCAGAATCGGACCCAATTCTCCACCTCAGGCCTAATCAGCACAGAGTAGAGTTGAAAAATTACGTCTCGTGTCTTGCTCACAACACTCCTGCTCATACACCCAGAATGATTTTTGCTTTTTTTGCAACAGTGTTACACGGTCCAGTCATATTCAGCTTGCGATCCACTATGACCCCCAGATCCCTTTCTGCAGTACACCTTCCTAGGCAGTCATTTCCCATTTTGTATGTAAGCAACTGATTGTTCCTTCCTAAGTGGAGAACTTTGCATTGGTTCTTATTTAATTTCATCCTATTTTCCTCAGACCATTTCTCCAGTTTGTCCAGATCATTTTTAATTTTAAGCTTTTCCTCCAAAACACTTGCAACCCCTTCCTGCTTGGTATCATCCACAAACTTTATATGTTTAGTCTCTATGTTGTTATCTAAATCATGGTTGAAGATGTTGAACAGAACAGGACCCAAAAGTGATTCCTGAGGGACCACACTTTATATGCTCTTCCATCTTGACCATGAACCACTGATAACTACTCTCTGGGAATGTTCTTCCAACCAGTTAGACACCCACCTTTTAGTGGCTCCATATTGGTTGTATTTCCTTTGTTTGTTTGTGAGAAGGTCATGCGAAACTGTGTGAAAAGCCTTACTAAAGTCAAGATATACCATATCTACTTACCCCCCGTCACAAGATGTGTTACACTGTCAAAGATAGCTATTAGGTTGGTTTGACATGATTTGTTCTTGACAAATCCATGCTGACTGTAATTTATCATGCTATTATCTTCAGTTACTATGATTCTAAGGTGTTTGCAAATCAATTGCTTTGTTATTTGCTTTTCCTTATTTCCCTTTTTATAGATGGGCACTATATTTGCCCTTTTTGAATGTTCTAGAATCTCTCCCATCTTCCATGACTTTTCAAAGATAATCCCTAATGGCTCAAATACCTCCTAAGTCCACTCCTTAAGTATTGTAGGATGTTTTTCATCAGGACCTGCTGACTTGTTGACATCTAACTTGTCTAAATCATAGAATATAAGGGTTGAATCATCTAGTCCAACCCCTTGCTCAAAGGGGGACTAATCCTCAACATCTTTTTTTGCCCCAGATCCCTAAACTGCCCCCTCAAGGATTGAGCTCACAACCCTGGGTTTAGTAGGTCTATGCTCAAACCACTGAGCTGTCCCATCCCTAATTCTTTAGAGCTTTTCCTAATTTAGCCTTTGACCCTACCTCACCTTAAATGGCATTTAATATGTTCAATCACTACTAACCTTTTTGGTGGAAACTGAAACAAAAAAGTCATTGAAAACCTCTGCCATTTCCACATTTTCTGTTATTGTTTTTTCCCCACTCAATCAGTAATAGGCATACTCTGTCCTAATTTCTCTTGCTTCTCATATATTTATATAATGTTTTCGTGTTACCCTTTATGTTTAGATTAATCTTGTTTTGTGCCTTGGCCTTTCTAATTTTCTTCCCACATATTTTTGTTCTTTCTTTTTATTTATCCTGAAGCTGAGCTTGTTCTCCTTTTAGCTTTTTTATGATGCAGAATATAAGTTGGAATGGCTTGTTTTCTTCTTTCCCCATCTTTGGCTTATTTTTTACATGAAAATCTCTTCCAGCCAAGGCAGGACACTCTGTGGTGCATGGAGAATTTGGGAAATAATTACATCACAAAAGATAAAAAATCAAACAGTAAAATGTTGAAAGGAAAAGAGACTTTTTATTTCAAATGTTTAAAACTTTTTTGTTTATATTTTAGCACTTGTTTAAGTTCAATGACTAGCTAAACTTTGAGAGAAAGAAAATCTTAGTTAAACTGTTTAGAAACTCATTAAATGCATCCTCTGAGACCTCAGCAAATCCATTAGCAAACACCAGGGAGACCAGAGATGACATTCTCATTATATTACTCATGTTTATTGTGCTCATGCCTAACGGCCAGCCAAGCTTGGGCCTCAATATGCTTGGCACTGCAGAGACACAGAGTAGCAGACAGTCCCAGCCTCAAAGAACTGACAATCTAAGTAATCCAGACAGACATATGGAGGGGAAAGGGCTATTACAACCAACAGAGATTTGGCAGCAAATGGCATGTTAGTGCCACAGTTTGTTTTCCTTTTATTTATGTATTTATTTTTAGGAGCTGATTAGCTAAAAGTAAAATGATGGGGGATTTTAAAAGGAGGGGCGTGAAGGAGACAAGGCAGAGTGGTAGAAGAGGATAAAGGTGGGCAGAAGGGCAGTGAGTCTGAGGGGCAGAGATTACGATGGAGGAGACAAGAGGGATTTAGGATGGAAGACGGAATCTGGGAATGTCAAGTGAGGCAGCCATGCACACATCCAGAGGCAGAAACAGAAGCATTTGGATAACTTCTACTGCAATAATATGGATATTGAGTGAATTTAGGCACCTTCAGGGTTCGGCAGCAGCCAAACAGGAACTTAGTGTTTCACAGTGTCCTCTGATACTGGGATTTAGGCACCAAACTTAGAGAGAGGTGCCTAAGTTCTGTAGTGGCAAAATATGTTTGTTAGTACATTAGGTAGCATATTTTAAGGAACACTTTTTAATCTGGCCAACACACACTTGTTAGGCTACAATGAAAATAATATCAGCTGTCATAGTGAAGCTCCTGGTCCTGCAAGCAGATATTTAACTTTATTACCATGAGTACTCCCTTAAAAGGAATTGAAGTTAAGCGCATTCATAAGTGTTTGCAGGATTGAGACCTTATACAGATGAATATGTTGTTAAATGTTTGTGGTGTTCCATAAAGTGATGTTCTAGCATCTGGTGTGTTTGAATCAGGGACTAAGTGTAAAGTGTTCACTGTGAATTATTTCCTTTTTCTCCAAAAAAACTCCAAGAGATTCTCCATGGTTTTTTTTCTATCTTGCATCAAACAAAATCACAGAAATAAATCTAATGTGAGCTGCTTCAGCAGCTTTTGTATCTGATATGGAACAATAATTCTAACAATATAGTACAATAAGTGGATTTTGTAATAATGCATGGATGATTCTTCTACCATAGATTGGATACAAATACTTATTCTGATAGTAGTT